AGAAACTAGTGTCATTCATAGGAAAATGGATGCATACTAAGGCCATATCCTTAAGTGAAATAAATAAGACACACATGTGTAAATACTGAATAGTTTCTCTAGGGTGAAAAACTAAAAGTGTAAATAAGATCCAAATTGTATAACTGATAATGTGAAATAGGAAGAAAAGCGCTAAAGGTGTACAGGTAGTGGGAAGAGTAGGGGAAAGGAAATAAGGGAAAGAAAAAATATGAGAAAAGGAAAAAATGGAAACAAAGTCTTTGTAAATAGGGGAGGGGGAAGAGGTTGAAGGGAGGGCAGGGGTATGGGGAAAAATGAGAATCAAGGTCTGTCATGTAAAGGTACAAGATCCCAATGATAAATGTAACTGTACTGTATACCTAAAAAGTACCAACAAACTCAATGAAGAAAATAAATAAATAAAATAAACAGAGTTAAAACTTTTAGCTATGGCTGAATAAGAAGACTGCTCTGTCTGGGTGTGGTGGCACATGCCTGTAATCCCAGCACTTGGGAGGCTGAGGCAGGAGGATCACTCTGAGTTTGAGACAAGCTTGGGCTACATAGTGAGTTCCAGGTCAGTCTCAACTATATAATGAGACCCTGTCTCAAAAAAATACATAAATAAAAGAAGACTGCTCCTTCTAAAAAGCAATAGAAAAATTATCAATATTGACATCTATTTTAGTGCTCTGGAAGTCAACCACTTCTAGAACTAATAAATAATGTTCACAAAGTCATTATTTTGACATAAATCAATAATTTGAGAAGCATTTTGTGGTTGAATAACTTATCAACTATGAGTAATAGCAGTGTATCTCTGGTGTTCTTGCCTGGAGCTGCCCCTGGCCCCCTACTTCACTCTGTTATCACAGAGGTTCTACCAGGGCAGTTATCTGAGCACAAGCATTTTCACTGCCATGGTTGTATAAGACTCACTGGATTTGGAGCAGTAGACAATATTTATGCCCAGTGGTGTCACTGATACATATGCTCTTGACAGAAGATGAGTGGAGAGGGTCACCAGCTCTACTAGCCTATCAATGGGATTGAAATAGAGGCAAGCATCTAACTGGCTGAGGCTACAAACATGTGCAAAAGAGACCAAGGAAACTTGGATATTTACATATTCTCAGTATGCACAGAGGATATGTGACAGGGCCCAGCAAACAGTAAACATCGAGGCAGACTTGAAAATTGCTGAAATTTGAATGCACTCCCCAACCACATGCTACTCTATTGTAGAAGATGCAAGCTTTGATGACTCAAGATATTTGGGCACAATCTCTGCCCAATCATTAGCTGACCACTGAGCTGTTCAGATACTGGACCCACAGTTGTAGAGTACCTGCCAAGCACGTATGAGGCCCTAGGTTTGATCCCCAGCACTGTCCCCCACTAACCTTAAGAATTGAGCCAGGCACAGTGGTGTGTACCTATTGTCCTGGCATACTCACCAGGGCTGAGGCAGGAGAATTTCTTGAGTCCAGGAGCTTGAAATCAGCCAGGGCAACACAGGAAAACATCACCTCAAAAAAATAAATTGAATTAAATTTTTAAAAAATTAGGGGTAAGCAAAGATATCCCAGTCCACACACTTTGGGAAAGACAGATTTCAAACACCTGTAGAACAGTTCTCCATGCAAGTTATAAACTAGCAAACAAATAACCAAACAGTAACAACAACCTTTGGTGGGGAGAGGGTAATTCAGAGTTACTACAATATATTATGTAAAATGTCAAATTTTCAGCAAAAATATTATGAGACATGAAGAGAAACAGGAAAGTACACTCTTACAGAGAAAAAAAGCAGTCAATAGAAACTGTTACTGTTATTAAAGCAGACAAAGACACTGCAAGAAAATAAAACCAAAGGCCAATGTCTTTCATAAACATTAATGCCTAACTCCTTAACATAATAGTACCAAATTTAACCCAGAAACACATAAGAAGGATTATAACCATGCCTGAATTGGATTGATCCTAAGAATATAAGGTTTTTCAATATCTGAAAGTCAATTAATGTAATACACTGTTAATAGAATAAAAGACAAAGCCACATTATCAGCTCAACAAAGGCAAAAAAAGCATGACAAGACTGACCCAATAGCCATTCATTAAAAACTCTCAACAGCTAGGTATGGTGGCTTATACCTGTAATTTCAGCTACCCAGGCAGCTGAGGCAGGAGGACTGTGCATTTGAGGTTAGCCTGGATAACATAACAAGACCCTGTCTCAGAGAGAAAGTGGGGGAGAAAAGAAAGAATTTAAAGGTATATGTAGAGCTAGGCATGGCGGTGTACACCTGTAGTCCCGGCACTAAGGAGGCTGAGGCAGGAGGATCGCTGTAAGTTCAAGACCAGCCTGGGTTACATAGTGAGTTCTAGGTCAGTCTCAATTACATAGTGAGACCCTGTCTCAAAAAAACCAAAAATAAATAAATAAAAAGACATATGTAGAATAATTCCAAGGAATGAACAAACTTCTAGAACTAATAAATAAGATTCACAAAGTCATATTTTGATATGAATCAATTGGTTTTTTGGATTCTAAAAACTATCCAAAAATAAAATTATGAGAACATTTCCATTCCAATAAAGTCTACAAGAATAAAACATTTAGGAATAAACTCAATAGAAGACTTGTATTCTGAAAATTATAAAACATCAAAAAGTGAAGTTAAAGATTAAATAAATGGAAAAATAAATGGAACTTAGACCTTTGCCTCATAACATACTAAAAAAAAATGTTACCCAAAATGTATCATAGACCATGTGTAGGTGTGGCAATATAAACTTTAGGAAGGAAATATACAAGACTGTTGTGTTTTCTAGTTTTGTGACACTAAAAGCATGATTCATGAAAGTAAAAAGTAAGAAATTACATTTCCTCAAAATTAAAAATTTTTGTCCTCAAAAGATATTATTACATGTCATAAACTGGGAAATACTTGCAAGTAATATATCTTATGAGGAACTTATATCCACAATATATTTCATATATTTATAAAATTCAGTGTTAGAAAAATAATACTGTAATTTTTAAATTGGCAAAAAGTTTTAATAGACATTTCACCAAAGAAAATATACAGATGGCCAATAAACACATGAAAGCATACTCAATGATTAATCATTAGAAAAATGCAAATTAAAACACAAGATACAACTATACACCCACTATGATAAATAAAATAAAAAGACAAAAGCAAGCATAATGAGGATGCCAAGAAATGTCATACATTGCTAATAGGAAAAGAAAATGGCACAGCAGCTTTAGAAAACAATTTGGTCATTCCTTAAAATATGAAGCATAATCTTACCATACAGTGCAGCAATTCTTCCCCAAGAAGTCTACTTATAAGACACAAAAATACATGTCCAAGCAAAAACCTGCACGCTGGGCTGGGGATTTAGCTCAGTGGTTCCAGAGCCTGCTTTGCAAGCACAGGGACCCTAGTTTGAACTCTGGTACAAAAAAAAAAGTCTTGCATGCCAAAATGAAACACAATCCAAAAATTGGTCAAGTAGTGGCAGGACAAACCAAACTATGGGGCATCAGTACAATGGAATACTGTGCAACAATGAAACCCAAAGGACAACAGGCACATGGTACAACTTGGATATACCTATGCTACCTGAAAGAACCCAGACACAAAAGACTGCATATTGAATTATTCCATTTATATAAAAGTCCAAAATAAGAGAAATTTATAGAACAGAAAATTGATCAGTGGTCCTATGGCTGAAGGTGGGAGTGGGGTTTGGCTGCAAGTGAACATGGGGGCCATTTGGGGTAATGGACATGTTTGCAAACTGGATTGTGTCAATGGCTATGCAACTTCATACATACATTAAAAACTGTTGACTCACACACAAACCATAGGATAATTTTATTTTATATAAATTATACCTCCATAAAACATCTTAAAAAGTTGAATGATACAATACTTAGATGGTGCCACATACCTGCCTGTAATCTCAGCACTCAGGAAGCTGAGGCAGGAGAGACTGCTGTTAGTTCTAGGCCAGTCTACAATACATAATGAGTTCAAGTCCAGCCTGAATTACTCAATGAGACCCTGTCTCAAAAATATATAAATAGTAAATGGATCTTTTGCTTATCTTGCCCAAGAAAAGGGCATTTTCTGGTCTCTGTTCTTGAGTCACATTAAAATTCTGCACAGATGTTGAGACTGTGAAGAATGTCATTGGTATTTTTAAGGGGATTGCACTTAATCTTTAGACAGCTTTGGATAGCACATTTTACAGTGTCATGTTTAAAAAGCATCAGACATACTTGGTAAACCTGTGTCTTTGAATCCTTACTTTAGATTTCAAGTTCATGAGTCTGAGAAGCAGATACCTAGTAAATAAATCCCCCCAAACATGATAGTCCCCTTGACATATGCCTGAGGCCAAAAGTCTAAGACAGGAATTATCACCAGGTACCTAGTGTCACTCTTGCTCATTCAATAATCTTATCATGCTGCTCCCTTATGTAACAAAGACAGTGTGGATGACCGTCCTCCAACTGATAGAAAGGTGGAGGAAAAATAGCATGCTTCTGGAGATCTGCAAAGGTCAGGAATAGTACTCCCAAGTTCTTCTGCCATAGGCTACTTGTGATCATGCTGCCCTGAATAATCTAGTGCCAAGATTTTGCATTAATAATATTAATGTTTAAAAGGCATAATGATGTTTTAATAGTCTTAAATCAAAGTTTCTCACAAAAATGTTATTTTACCTGTACCTAGCATTTATATAGCTGCACAATTAGTTAAGAGACCCATCATTCCCATTTGATAGGTGTGTCAACAAGAAAAGTCTAAATTCTTTGCCAGGAGCAGATTTCTCTAATAAAGTTCACCTCAATCACAGCTTTCTGAGGCTCAGTCTACCCCCAATTACCCTCTCTCCCTTTCTTGAACTCTGAAGTCCTGTCCAAGCTTTGAAAAAACTTTGTATAAAAGTTTTTTTCTTTGTATAAAAACTTTGTATATATCACTTCTCAGCCTTTTGGCTGAGCAGTATCTGTTCTTATCACTTTAATATCTGATACATCCTCTATCCGAGGACAATATATTAAATGAATTTTTGGAGCTGGGAGTTGGGGTAGGAGCTTTCTCTGTCCACTCCACGCATTGACCTGGTATTGCAGTACCTCCAGGAATTGTGCACCCCTTCGGGGAATCACGCTGGTTTTAAAATACAGATTAAAGACCAGGGATTTAGCTCAGTGGTTCTGCTGCCTGCCTTGTAAGCACAATATCCTGAGTTTGATCTCCGGTACTCAAACAAAACAAAACAAAAAAAACTTTGCATAAAAGTTGTTTTTCTTTGTATAAATGATTCACAAAGCTGAGCTCTGGGGTAAATGTTGCCTGCCCTACAAACTTACATCTTTGAAATAAAGTGTTCGTAAATGAGGAGGGAAGGATGGGGTGAAGGGAGGGCAGGGACAAGGGGAAAAAATGAGAACCAAGACCTGTCATGTAAAGGTACAAGATCCCAATAATGAATGTAATTGTACTGTATACCTAAAATGTACCAATAAACTCAATAAAAGAACACAAAACAAACAAACAAACTTCCATCTTTGCTGTCACCCTGGGAAAGATGTGGCTACACTTTTGGGAACATGGTCTTTCTCTCTTTACGTTCCTCAGCCTTCTTTCCCATAAGCTATCCAAATCTATCATTCCAACCTGCAATGATGGATGTGTATAATAATGTAACTACCAGTTATCATTTGCGAGTGCTACACACATACATCTTCCTCATTTACTTTATGAGTTTTCAGTTGGGAATCCTTTTATCCTGTCCAGCACTCTGAACCTATAAACAATAGAGCAATAACTGTAGCTTCCCAACCTCTTTTCCAAGCCTACTGCCATCATTACCCTTCCCATTACCACAGACACAACCAGCCAAGGTGGCCCAAAACACAGCCATCAGACCAGTCTTCTAAAAACATTTTTATTGTTTTTCATATGTTTCCCTTGCTTAAAAATCTTCCATGACGTTCGGTCCTCTATTGTCCTGTGATGCAGCCAACCAGAAGAGAATTCTGAGGAGAATGTAAGTCCTTGGGTTGACTGGGTTTCTCAAAAAAATAGAACCAATAGGAGGTAGGAGATTCATAACAAGAAATTAGCTCATGTGATTATGGAGACTGTGAAGGACTTTGATTTTTTTTTTTTTTTTTTTTTTTTTTTTTTTTTTTTGGTACTGGGATTGAACTCAGGTCCTTACGCTTGCAAGGCAGACCACCAAACTACTGAGCTAAATCCCTTTGATCTTTTTTCTGCAAGCTGGAGACCTAGAGAAGCCAGTAATGTAATTCCAGTCAAACTTTGATGGCCTAAGAACCAGTGCAGTAGATGATGTAAATCCTAAGTGAAGCACAAAAGATCAATGTCCCAACTCTGGCAGGCAAGTGACAAAACTAGTGAGGCAGGCGGCAGAACCACTGAGCTAAATCCCCAGCCCCAAGTGACAAAAATAGTGAGTTCTTTTCTTCACCTTTTGTTCTGTTGGGGCCCTCAACAGACTGTGGGATTCCCACTAACCCTAGGAAGGGGTCATTGCCTTACTTAGTCCACTGATTCAAATGGTCACCTCATCAGGAAACACCCTCACAGACACAGCCAGAACAATGTTCAAACTGAGCATGACTTGGCCCAGTTAGATCAACACAAAATTAGCAGTATTGCAGCCTTGTTTCAGGAATTGCACTTTTTTAGGGAGGTCATAGGCATTCTTCTTGCCTTGTTTCCTCTTTCTTTTCTTTTCTTTTTAAAATTAATTTTATTGGTACATTTTAGATATACATAATGATCATATTCATTATAGGAAACTTGTATCTGTATGTATGTTGATTCTTTTTTCCCCAATCCCCTCCCTTCAACCCTTCTTTCCCTCTTTACTTACAAAAGTTTTGTTTCCATTTCTCCTTCTATTCTTTTTTTCTTTTCTCTTCCTTTCCTCCTCCCACCTCTTTTTTTCCCATTTCCAAATATCTATTATACATTTTGGACCTTATTTACCCTTTTAGTTTCTCACACCAGAGAAATAATATGATATTTAAACATGTGTATGGATTATTTCACATAAGAGTATGGTCTCAAAGGTCAACCATTTACCTAGAAATATCTCAAGTTTGTCCTTCTTTAAGACAGAGTATACGCCATATACAAAACCTACATCTTCCTTATCCTTGTATCAGTTTATGGGTATTTAGGCTGTTTCCTAGATTTAGCTATTACAAATGTGCTGCTATAAACATGGGTGTGCATATATAACTGTGCTTTGATGCTTTTGATTCTTTCAAGAAGATACTAAGAAGGGAAATAACTGGGTCAAATAGAACCTCTAGTTCTAGTGTTCTGAGAAATCACACTGATTTTCACAGTGGTTGGACCAGTCTACACCTCCACCAACAATGAAGAAGGACTCCTTTTTCACCACAGCCTTGCCAGCATCTGTTATTGGCTGATTTCTTAATAATAGCCTTTCTATTTGGAGTGAAGTGGAATCTCAGTGTTGTTTTAATTTGCATTTCTCAAATGACCAATGAAGTTGAACATTTTTTCATATATTTATTTGCCATTTGTACTGCTTCATCTGAGAAGTGTCTATTCATTTCAGATGACAATTTTTGGATTGGGTTTTTAAAGTAGGGGAGGTCTGATTTTTTTTAAAGTTCTTTATATAGTCTAGATACTGGTCTTGTATCTGAGGAATAGCTGGCAACAAATTTTTCCCACTCTGTGAATTATATCTTCATTCTGTTGGCAGTTTCTTTGCTATGCAAAAGCTTTTTAATAAGATAAGGTACCAGTTGTTGATTTTTTTCTAATATTTCCTGTGTGATCAGGGTTTTGTTCATAAGTCTTTGCCTACACCTATGTCTTCAAGAGTTCTACCTATTCTGTCTTCCAGCAAATTTAATGATACTGTTTTAATATGTAGATTTGATCCATTTCAATTTTAGTTTAGTGCATGTTGAGAGATATGGGTCTAATTTTAATCTTCAGCATGTAGAAAGCCTGTTTTTCCAGCAACACTAATTAAAAAGGCTATTTTTCTTCCAATGAGGGTGTTTGGCTCCTTTTTCAAAGATAAGGTGGCTAAGTGTGTTTGGAGTTGTTTCTGCACCTTCTAATCTGTTCCACTGATCCTGCAGTCTCATTTTGTTTCATTCTGTTTTGCTTTTGCCTGTAACATGCTGTTTTTACCATAGTAACTTTGTAGTATAATTTCAAGTCAGTGATCGTGATGTCCCCTGCCTTGCCTTTGTTGCCCAGAATTACTTTTGCTATTTTAGGCCTCTTCTGGTTGCAAATGAATTTTAGGATTGTTTTCCTTAATTCTGTGAGATATGCTATTAGAATTTTGATCAGGATTGCATTAAATCAGTATAATAGTTTTGGAAATATAGCCATCACACTATATTGGTTCTTCCTATCCAAGAACAAGGGATATCTTTCTATTTTATGATACCCTTTTATCTCCTTCTACAGAGTACTATAGTTTTCAGTGTAGAGTTCTTTTCCTTCCTTTGATTGATTTCTAGGTATTTAAGTTTTTGGATGCTATAGTGAAAGGTGTTGTTTCTTAATTTTGCTCTTGGTGAGTTTGTTATTTATGTACAGAAATGCTATTGATTTTTAAGCATTGACTTTGTGTCCAGCTACACTACTGAATATGGTTATTAAGTCTAGAAGTCTTTTGGTGAAGTTTTTGGAGTCTTCTATGAAAGTATCATGTCATCTGAAATTGATAATTTAACTTCTTCCTTTCCTATCCTTATTGCTTTTATTAATTTCTCTTCTCTAATTGCTGTGACTAATGTTTCCAGAATGATATTGACTAGGAGTGGTGATAATGGGCATCCTTGTCTTGTTTCTGACTTTCAAGCTTTCAGTTTTTTACCATTTAGTATAATGTTGGCTGTTGGTTTTTCATAGTTGGCTTTTATCAGATTGAGACAAAGACCATCTATTCCAATTTTCTGCACGGTTTTTACTATGAATATGTGTTGGACTTTGTTAAATGTTTTTTTCTGCATCTATTGAGGTGATCATGTGGTTTTTGTACTTGTCTCTGTTAATATGGTATATTATATTTATTGATTTGTGTATGTTGAACCATCCCTTCAGCCCTGGGATGAATCCTGCTTGGTCATGGTGTACAATCTTCTTGATGATTTGCTGCATTCTGTTCATTCTTTTTTAGTTTTTTTGGTACCAGGGATCAAATTCGGGACCTTGCACTTGTAAGGCAGGCAGCAGCACCACTGAGCTAAATCCCCAGCCCGGTTTTCTGCATTCTGTGTGCCAGGGTCTTCCTGAGGATTTTGCATTTATGTTCATTAGGGAGATTGGCCAGTAGATCTCTTTTTTTAATTGGATTATTCTCTGGTTTGGGTAATGCTTGCTTCCAGGAATGAGTTTGGGTATATTGCTTTCCTTTCATTTTCATGAAAGATTTTGAGGAGCAGTGGAATTAGATCTCTAAATTTCTTGTAGAATTTAGCAATGAATCTGCCAGGGCCTGGGCTTTTCTTCATTGGTAGGTGTTTTGTTTTGTTTTGGTTTTGGTACTGGGGATCGAACTCCAGACCTTGCACTTGTGAAGCAGGTGGCAGAACCACTGAGCTAAATCCCTGGCTCTGTTGGTAGGTTTTTAATTACATCTTCAACTTTATTGACTGATATTGGGTTAGATTTTTTTATCTTCTTGATTCAGCTTTGATAGTTCATGTGTATCTAGGAATCTCTCCCTTTCTTCTATGATTTCCAATTTATCAGAATACAGGTTCTCAAAGTAGGTATTGATGATCTGGATTTCTTCAGGATCTGTGGTGATTTCACCTTTTTCATTCCTAATTGCATGGATTTGAGTCTTTTCTTTCCTTTTTTTAAGATAAAGTTGACTAAAGGTTTGTCAATTTTAATCTTTCAGAGAACCAACTCTTCAATACATTGATTCTTTGTATTGTTTTCAGTCTGAATTTTGTTAATTTGCTCTAATCTTCATAATTTCCTCCCTCATATGAGCTTTGATCTTGACTTGCTCTTATTTTTCTAGAAGCTTGAGATTCAAGCTTGTTGTTTATTTGTTTATGTTGTTTATTTGAGCTCACTCTTTTTCTGATGTGAGAATTCACGATTATAAATTT